CTACCCTTATAAGGATAAATAGAAACCGTATATATAAAATTAAAGATGATAATGGTAATTGGGTAGAGGAAGTTCCAACAATTAAAGAGCTATTTTTCAAGAAATTTGAAGATAGATTCAAAGGGGTCACTTGACAGGTACTGACAATGTGATTGCTGAATTGGAACAAGTAACAATGAAGAGACAAAATAAAGACTTAATTAAAGAAGTGTCCTCGTATGAGATTTGGGATGCAGTTAACTCTATGGGAGATACCACAAGGCCAAATGGATTAAATGCGTAATTTTTCGAAAAATACAAATCAATCATTGGAAAATCAATAGAAGACATAGTGAAAGATTTTTTTTTTTTTTTTTTTCACTCAGGCCGAATGACAAAGGTCTAAATCAAACTTTTATCGCATTAATCCAAAAAACTAACAACCTTGATTCTACGGAAAATTTTAAGCCAATCAGCCTTTGCAATATTATATATAAAATTGTTGCAAAAATCATAGCAAATCGGCTCAAACCTCTACTAGGGAAAATTATTGCCCCTTACCAAAATGCATTTGTTCTGGGGAGAAAAATAATAGATAACATTTTGATTGTTCATGAAATGATGGATATAATGAAGAAAAAAAGGGCAAGATTGGCCTAATGGCTTACAAAATCAACATGGAGAAAGCATATGACACTTGAGAGTGGAAATTCATAGGAAAACGCTGATCAAAATGGGTTTTCATGGCAGGTGAATAAATTGGGTGATGCAATGCATTGACAAAGTGTTCTACCAGATTCTAATTAATGCAATACTATACATATTTGTGTTGTGTATTGAAGCACTAGGTAAGCTCTTTAGTAAGCGGGACCAAAAAGACAAAGAAATCATTGGGTTTAAACCTTCTAGAGGAGGGCCAACGTTTCCAATTCTGCAATTTGCTAATGATTGTATTGTGCTTGCAAAGGAAAATATAGATAATGCATTGAGAATAAAGGAAATCATGGAGAGATATGCTGGAGCGTATGGTCAAAAGCCAAATTGTAGCAAATCGACCATTTTCTTCTTCAAAAATATTCATAAAAGGATACAAAAAGTCCTATCTAGAGTAATAAAAATCCCAATGGAGAAAAAAAACAAAACAAAAAGAAAACTACTTGGGGCCCCTCTCATTAAGGATAGAGTAACAAAAAAAGCTCCCTCCCCTTAGCCGGTAGAGTCACCCTCCTAAAAGCCTCAATTTCAATGATGCCTCAGTATTTAATGAGGTCTTTTTAAGATCCCAAAAATTATGGTGGAAAATTTGGAAAGGAAGCTGAGAAACTTTTCATGGGGAGGTAAGGTAAATAAAAGCATAAATCTAATTAAATGTGACACTCTTTGTAAGTTCAAATTAAATGGGGTTGGGGATTGAAAAAGTTGCAGTGGGTAAATAATGCAAGTTTGGCAAAATTAGGATGGGAAATTTTTACTCAACGGATAACCTATGGGTCAAAGTAATAAAAAACAAATATATCATCCCCAAAGAAAAAAAAACATCTTTTGGGCCCGGAGAGGCATTCTTGAAATCAGAGATACTCTTAAGAAGGGATCTATTAACTTCTAGAATGATATATGGGTAGGAAATTCCCCTCTACAAAGCACTAGGGACTCAAGCTATAATATCCAGAATCAAAACGTGTGTGAATTCATTAAGGAGGATAAGATGTGGGACAAAGAAAAATAATAGAGACTCTTCCCCAAAATTTATGGGAAAAAACCAGAGCTATCCCCACCCCAAATGAATGAGGGTGATTCCATGATTTGCAAACCTGATTCCAAAGGTAGGTACTCGATAAAGACTGCCTATAGGCTTTTGGAAGGAGATTGGGATCACACAAATTCCTATGGTGGTCTAGGAAATATTTGGAAATTGAAATATCCCTAAAGGGTTATTTTATTCCTTTACCTGTGCTTGAAAAGGAACATTTTAACCAAAGTACAGTTAAGTAACTGGGGCCTAAGAACTGAAGTTGAATGCCCATTCTCTGGTCAATATGAAGATGCTGAACACCTCTTCCTTTACTACCGAGACTCGAGACTAATTTGGAATTCCTTGGGGGGCACCGGCCTCCCTTGGATCCCAAATGAAAACTTGTTGGAGTGGTGGAATAGAATTCAAATTGATAATTGATGAGGGCGGATTTGGCCCTCCAATGACATTGTGACACCCGGCACCTCATGCCAACTAAGTGCAGCCCCTTGACAGGTAGACAACTCGAGCTCGCCACCATGCAACACCTCACAGGCAACTCGCCACCATGTAGCACTCACAGGCAGCTCGCCGCTAGGCAGCTCGCCATCATTTAGCCTGACACCTCAGAACAACTAGGCGACACCCGGGACCATTTTGACAACAACTTGCCTTTGCTAAGTTGATGGTGTCCCACCAGGCGCAGCCTGGCACTGGCTCGGCTTGGCACTGGCGCGGCCTGACACTGGCGCAGCCTGGCACTGGTGTGACCTGGCACGAGCTGGCAGCCTGGCCCTGGCACGAGCTGGCAGCTTGGCCCTGTCACGAGCTGACGGCCTGGCCCAGGCATCGACTTGGCGTCCTGACACAGGCGCCAACCTGACAACCTCGAGGAACACACCTCCGTACCCCGCATTTTACGGGATTGTGACTTGAAACGGCTATATTAGCTCACCCACTCCCCAGTTCTAACGGGAAGGGACAATATTACCGTTTGATGGCTTTTCACCCATCTAACACGCAAGCCAATCCCATCACAGCTGGGATCCAGGAACTGCTCTACCTAATCCATGAGGACTCCAGTATATAAAGACCTCACCCCCCAAGGGCAAAGGTATGATGCGAAAAGGGATGGGTAACCTCTGCTCTCTAGCTCTCTCATCCTCTTATCATCTTCAAGCTTTCTACTACTATATTGCGCTAACTTAGCCAGCGAAGTGACCTCATTGGGTAAACACCCCTGGGTTCTCTGATTTAGTTCTCGCAGGTCCCTAAGCTCCCGCCGCTTACAAAGATGAGCAGATCATTGTCAGCAGGGAGTAACCAGTTCAGTTCCCGTCGTTACTGGTAGCCAGGTCATCTCCTGCCGGTAACAATCGGGTTGCACTACACTAGAGAGCTCGTCATCAAGGTAGCTCACCTCCAGGCATCTCATCAAGGTAGCTCACCTCCAAGCAGTTCATCAAGGTAGCTCACCTCCAAGCAGCTCATCAAGGTAGCTCACCTCCAAACAGCTCATCAAGGTAGTTCACCACCAGGTAGTTCGCCACCAAAGAGCTCCACTTCAGCCTCTGAGTCACAGGCCACTTGGGAGTAGACTAGATGATGAGGTACTTAGTAAAAAAATTAACACATCACGAAAAAATGATATATGACCGAAAACAGTCACATCAATAATAGCACTCAAAACCTCAATATCGAAAAGGTGGGATTTACCCTTTTAAATATACAAAAGAGGAGGAATGAGATAATTTTTAATAATAAGAGCATTCCCCCTTTAATAATTGGGAAAAAGGTTAGAACTAATATATATTAATTTTCCAACATCTCCTAGGTGAACAAACATGAGAAAAAAGGAAAAGGTAAATCTATCAGTGGGCTGGGTGAAACCATGTTATGGGGAACTAAAAATCAACTTTAATGCATGTTGGAAGATAAACGGAAAAAGTGCTCTAGGAAGCTATTATAAGAGATGAGTGTGGTTGTAGTTGCAAAGATATAGGAGAATGTACAATAAATGAAGCTTAAGCTTGGGCAGCTATTGAAGCCCGTGAAGATGCTAGCAGGTTTCCTCATCATAAATCTATCATTTAGGGCTGGGTGAAACCACATTATGGGGAACTAAAAATCAACTTTGATGCATTTCAAAATATAAATGAAAAAAGTGCTCTAGGAGTTATTATAAGAGATGAATTTGGTCAAGCATTATGGTATAGTTGCAGGGATATAGGAGAATGTACAATAAAATGAAGCCGAAGCTTGGCGGCCATAGAAGCCCATCAAAATGCTAGCAGGTTTCCTCATCATAAAATAGTCATCGAAGGTGATTTAAGTCTTATTATCAACTGCCTATATGGAAGGATGGAGCCCCCGTGGAACATCAACAACTTTATCAAAGTTTGTATGGATATCAAACATCACAATGAGCTCAACATCACATATGTGCACATGCTGAGAGAAACAAATAGAGTTGCGATTAGACCTGGCAATCGGGTTGGGTCAAGGGATAGCCCTCACCCTTTAGACTGTAGCATTGTAAAATTTCAATAGATAGAATCTTATAAGAAGTTAAACTCTCACTCTTAAAAAAGTTTATCTACTCATAAAAAGATGACAACTCCACTCTCCTAAAATTTACACACACGTATCATCTTAATCCCTAAAAAGTGGCAATTTCAAATGTTATGGTACTAACTGAATTTTGTTCAAATACAATCATTTCAAAAGTAACGATTAAACAAATACTGTAACTTAAAAAGATTTAAAATATTAAATGGATAAAAATAAAAACAAATGAAATTCATACAAATGACTAAACAATTAATACAAATGGTGCGAGTTTCATTCTTTTAAATGAAATAGTTTATTAATTGCAAATTAGATTTAATTATTTTTTGGAAGCATAACTTAATTTAGCTCTTAAAAATAAATTTATCAAATAAATAGTAAATGCCAATTAAAGTGGATTGCTGTTTACAAATAAGACCTCATTTAATCTCTTAAATCATATTAAAAAGAATATAAATTAATAGTGATTTTCAAATAAAGTAGGTCATAATAGATTGTCAATAACAAGATATATAAAATTCATGCTAATTTATTAATTTAATTTTTTATAATTAAATAGTAAATTTCAAATTAAATAATACTGTAACTGCCCCTTAAGTCTTTTAAATCAAATAAAAATCCTAAATCAAAATTTCTGATATAAATAATTTAAGAAATTGAAATAATTCAGATTAATGGTCTTTTACTTAATACGGAGGTCATTCCTACTCTATAACGAAAAGTAGGTTCAGGACTTCAGGCTATACAGATAAAAGTAGAGGCTTCCAGTAAGCTCTGATAGTAGCGTGGTTCGTTATTTCGTTTCCCTTCCATTCTTCTCTCGCCATTTTGCAAAAGAATAGAGAAAAATTAGCGACCGAAAGGAGATGGAAGCAAGTTCGGAGCAGAAGACTCATCCTTTTGATCTTCAAATGGACTCCGGTACAGCGCTGAAGCTTGTAAAGCACGGCGCCACTCTCCTCCTTCTCGATGTTCCTCAGTACACTCTCGTAGGCATCGATACTCAGGCAAGTAAGGCTTCTTTTTTCATCTATTCCCAAATCGGAAACGCTCCGTTCTATTGGTATTCATAGTTTGCTGATTCGTTCCATCTAATCATGGCAAATCCCCGAAATCTAGTAGTTAGCTCGTTGGTGAGCGAATACAGTGCCGACCCAAACAACCACTCGCATTTGACCTCTGCAACTCATGGAAACCTATCCTTTATTGCAGCTTTATATGATTAATGCATTGAAAATTCTCCCATTTCCAATTTTTTCTTCAAATTGACATTCTCAACTAATGTTATTTGATGTGTTTGCAGATGTTTTCGGTGGGGCCTCTTTTCAAGGGTATAAAAATGATTCCTCCTGGACCTCATTTTGTATACTATAGCTCCGCAGACAGGTGTGTGTTCTGTGTTTTCTCAAGTACTCGTAACGACTAGAAGGTGATAAATTAAGTACTTCTATGTGCAGTGGTTTTCATTGTTCGGCATTTCCCATGTTCTTTATCCATTTACTACCAAACGAATATTTTCCACTCATTTGTTGAGCTCGGTTATTGTTCAGCATTTATGGACTTCGCTTCGCAGGAAAATACTGATACAGAATATTTTCCAGATTTTAAAATTTCCCGTCATTTGGTTCCGATAGGGAATTTAATTTATTGGTGATATTTTGTTCAGAGTAAAGAAAAACCTGGAAAACAATTCCTGAATTTTTTGAGGGAATTTATTTTCTGAACTGCAGAAATAAATTGGACTTGTTTTTTTACCATTCTGTTGGAATGCTTTGACCCATGGACTCTCCCTCCTTTCTGCCAGTAGGATGTTTTGGTGGACCCCCATCCGGGTCATTTGCTTTATTTGGGCCCATTTTAAAGTTTTGCCTTAAATAACAAGAAAATAAAATTAAGAAAATATCTTTTAGAACTTTTGTGATTAACAGTAGTTTCTAAAAGGAAATTGTGAGACAATGGATATACATTCAAGGGTTAAGAAGTAAATTCACAGCTGAAAACGCTTAGGTGAAGCCCAATTGTAAAAGTGAGACCAAGGCGTCACGAAGAAATGCCTCGCGAGGTAAGAGTTCACGAACCTGGCGCAAGGCGGGTCTACTGTCTTATTGACTTCGTGAGTGCTCAACCTTGCAACCTCACAAGGGTGCCTAACCTCACTACCTCATGAGGATGAAATAAAATCAAAACTTGATGACCTTGGGAAACTTCAGCACTTGAGGATTTCTTTGAAAATGATAGATGTGTGATTGTTGTTCCAGGGAAACCACGATTGGCCATACTTGGTAACCATACTTACATGCATCACTTTCTTAGAGGGCCTCAAAAGCGTGCTTTAAAAACCATGTGGTCTTTAGGGACATGTGTTCTTAGGAGAGAGAAATGCGGGATTTGCTTTTGTTATCAGTGCAGTGATGTAGGAGAAAAGAAGAGAGGAAGAGGGAAGAGAGAGAGAAGAAGAGAGGAGAAAGATTTGAGAGCCAAAAGCATGCTGGCAGCGCCAGCTATTTGTTATATATACTAGGGTGACAACAACTAAAAAAATAAAAGGGTAAAAATACAATAGTACCCCTACGGTACTATACTTAGGAAAATAACAACTTTCACTTCCCCTCAAGTTGGGACATAGATGTCAATCATGCCCAACTTGTCACATAAATCATGATGCCATGAGTGGTGTAGCCCTTTTGTAAAGATGTCTGTAAGTTGATCCTCAGAGCTGACATAAGGAGTACACATTTCCCCTGTGACAACCTTTTTTCTGATTAAGTGTTTGTCGACTTCGATGTGTTTAGTTCTATCATGTAGCACTGGATTAGTAGCAATGTTTATGGCTGCTTTGTTATCATAGAATAGGGTCATAGGTCTGTCCACTAGAAAACCCACTCACTCAATAGATTCTTTAGCCACATAATTTCAGCCACTCCATGAGCCATTGCCCAATATTCAACTTCAGCACTGGATCTAGCTACCACATTCTGTTTTTTTGCTTCTCCAGGTAACTAGATTTCCTCCTATGAAGGTACAGTAGCCACTAGTTGACTTTTTGTCATTCAGGGATCCTGCCCAATCTGCATCAGTGTACTTCAACTTTCAAATGCCCGTGCTTTTGAAATAACAAGCCTGCACTTGGGAACTTCTTAAGATATCTGAGAACTCTTTTTGCTGCTTCAAGATGAGCAGTCTTGGGAGCATGCATGAATTGGCTAAGAACATCGACTGCATAAGCAATGTCGGGATGGGTCATAGAAAGATATAACAATCTTCCTATAAGTCTCTGAAACTGTTTCACATCCTTGATAAGTTCACCTTGGCAATCACCTAATTTGTGGTTAGGATCGATAGGGGAATCAACTGGCTTCACTCCCAATTTTCTTGTATCCTGGAGTAGATCTAGGATATACTTCCTTTGGGAAATGAAGATACCCTTTTGTGAGCGGGCAACTTCAATTCCAAGGAAGTACCTTAGAGGACCTAGATCCTTTACTTCAAACTGTGTAGCAAGAAAAATCTTCAACTTTTGGATTTCATCATTCCAATCACTAGCGATAATTATATCATCAACATATACTATCAAAGCAACAATTTTTCCTTCCCCTCTTTTCACAAACAATGTGTGATCTGATTGACACTGCTTGTATCCTTTTTGCTGAACCGCATGGAACCTGCTGAACCAGGCTCTCAGTGATTGTTTCAGCCCATATAATGATTTTTTCAACCTGCGCACTTTCTGTTCATTACCTTGAGCCTGAAAACCAAGGGGTTGTACCATGTAAACTTCATCTTCAAGGGAGAAAAGGGTGATGTAGATCCCAGTCAAGATTAGCAGCAAGGGAGAAAAGGACTCTAATGGAGTTCAGGTTGGCAACAGGTGTAAAAGTCTCTGCATAATCAACTCTATACACTTGTGTTAACCCCTTTGCCACTAAACGAGCTTTATATCGCTCTACCGTGCCATTAGCCCTATGTTTGACTGTGAACACCCATTTACATTCCAACTGGATCCTTTCCCTTAGGAAGATCTACTAGTTCCCATGTGCCATTTTTATGTAGAGCATTAATTTCTTCCTTCATAGCATCTGTCCATTCAGGCACTAAAAGAGCTTCTGCCACATTCTTAGGGATAGGAACACTGTCAATGGAAGTGAGAAAGATCCGAAAAGAGGGTGAAATGTTTTCATAGGAAACAAAGTGGGAAATGGGGTGTTTAGTGGTGCAAGTCCTAACACCTTTCCTATGAGCAATAGGAAGGTCAAGGTCATTAGCAATTGAGGTATCAATAACGATAGGGTCAGGGACATCGATAGGAACCAAGATACTTGAGTGAGTATGATCTGCCCCTGGAGGGTTTGATGGCATTGGAGGTACAACTTCTAGGTTCTGCACAGCTCTTGAACTTGGTTGGCCTCTGTAATGACGAAATAAGACACGAAAAGGAGGAGGATCAGGAAGATGAGGGAGCTGAACCAGTTTCTCCTCATTCCTACACTCCCCCTGAGGAGAATCATGGGAAAAGGGCTCACTCTCAAAGAAAGAGACGTCCATGGAAACATAAAACTTATGAGAAACAGGATCAAAACAGCGGTATCCCTTCTGAGTGAAAGAATACCTCAAGAAGATGCGAGGAATAGCACGGAGGTCTAATTTTCCACGAGTGGGTGACAAATTTTGGACCAAACAACGACAACCAAACACACGAGGAGGAATGGAAAGAAGGGGAGCCTTAGGAAAAAGAAGCTGATGTGGGGCTTTGCACTCTAACCAACGAGAGGGCGTACGGTTGATGAGATAGGTAGCACAAAGGACAACCTCAAGCCAAAATCGTGTCAGGGGTGTGAGATGCAACATGGAAAGCTGTGGCAGAGTTATCTAATGTAAACGCAAATGAGGTTGAGGGAGGAGCATCCATCTGATGAATTGCTCTACCATAGAGCTCTAATTGGTCAAGGAAGGAATTAATAATATCCTCCCTTGGGTCAGATCCAGAGACGTGAGTCGGGGTCATAGTAGTAATGGGGGGCTGATTTTCCTAAGAGGCCATGTTTGCCACGGTGTTATTTCTTGTACTTTTCTGTCCTGACTCTTTATTCAGATCTGAATCTTGCTTCTTATTCAAATCTTGAGCCCATTTCGACTTCCCATGAAGATCTCAGCATGTATCTCGGGTGTGTCAAGGTTTCTGGCAATGAGTACACCACAGTTTGTCTTTGTCATCCACCCTTTTTGAGAGTCCCCCCTCTTAAAGGTATTCCCACCACCTGTAATCACACTTCCTTTTGCTGCCAACCCAACTGCATCCATTCCAAAACTATTCATCAAGTTCCTTCTACTTTCTTCTGATTGTACAAGAGCATAAACTTCCTGGACGGAGGGAAGATCCTTGCTACCTAGGATCTGAACTCTGATAGAATCATATGCAGGGTTCAAGCCATGTAGAAAAGCAAACACTCTCTGCTGAGATACAAGTTTCTTGTATAATTTTGCATCTTCATCACACTTCCAGGCCACACTCTGATAATGATCTAACTCCTTCCAGACAGAGGTCAAGTCTGAGTAGTACATAGAAAGATACCTCTCCCTCTGTTTACAAGTGGACGATTCTGCCTATAACTGATAAATCTTTGCATAGTGGCGCAGCTCAGAATATGTTAATTTTGCCAGTTCCTAGATTTCATTTGCCGTTTCAGCCCACATAAAGTTCCTTTTTATTTGGGGTTGCATAGACACTAAAAGCTAGGACATGACCATGCTGTTTTCCTGGTTCCATCTGTCATATTCAGCACTCTCAGAATGTGGTTCTTTGATTCTCCCATTAATATAACCTATCTTTCCCCTTGCAGTAATGTACAACTTGATCCCTCTTGACCATTCCAAATAATTTAAACCGTCGAGAGGAATAACAGCCATGGGAAAGGGTAGGTCCGCACCCCCACTCATTCCATTTTGCATTGAGGAAACACCGGACGTGGCAAAATCTTCACCGCTCATGGTTACAGATTCAAAAAAGACTCTTAAGAGTGGGGCAAAACCTTTAAAAAAAGGCTAACACCAAGGGAGAAAGGGAGCCCCCCTTTTTTCTTCAGAAAACACAACCCCCCCTTTTGATAACACCATGTGCTGTTACCCCCTTTTTTTTAAAAACACAGGTGTTGTTACAGCACTAACAGGCCCCTTTTTGATAAACACCGGTGCTGTTACAGGGCGGACAGGTCAATTCTTGATCTACGCATCAAACATGGATGCTGTTACAGCAAGTACAGGTCACCTTGACCTTCAGGTTCAGCATAAAAGCTGCTATTGCAGCACATAAAAGGTCTTCACCGACCTACAGAATTTTTCAGGGGTCAGTTGACCCCACAAAAAAGGAAAGACTGAGGTGCTGGTCACCT